ATCTAATTTTGCCAAATTTGAATATGTCAAAAATACTAATATTGAAGATGCTAAAATTGAAAGCTCAAAGAAGCTAGTGATTTTAGAGATTCTTTTAGCAGCTTTAACAAGTGTACTGGAAATATCAAACTTACAATAATAAGTTGATTTTGATATATTTTTTACTTTTCTTTTTTTTTGGTTTCTTCTATACAAGAGCTTTTACAAGTAAGCATGTACGTATCCTTTCCTCTTTAATTTTCTTTTGGCCACTGTCTTCTTTAAAAATTTGTTTCTCAAATTTCTCTTGAACTTCCTCTCATTTTTTTTTGGCTACCTTTTTCTTCACATTATTATATTTTTGAAGTATGAAATATTTCTGTTTGAACTATACTTGCATGCAAAATTATTTTGGAGTCCCAAAATTGCAATTTCAGGAAAAAAAGTCAATAGTTTTCATAGAAGACAAAATTATTTTACTTAAAACCTGAAATTTTTTGACCACCAGATTTATTCTTTGATTAAAGATATATATAACTAGATATTTTTTTTATTTTCATATATAGAATAGATTTTGTATAAATCTCAAAAAGTCGAAATACCTCAAAAATCTAAAATCAATTTTGGGAATATGTATAGTTTAAACATATTTTATTAAAAGAATTTTTTTTTGTAACTTAAATATTAGAAAAATATTGATCAATAAAATTAAAGGGATGTCATATTATATGTCCCATTTATGGTCATTCATAGTAAAATGGTATACTTTAAAATCATTATAACTTAATAATGAATTATTATTTTTTTAAAAAAAAAGTGGTTATTTTGTAGCTAAACTAATTAACTACAAAATACCAATCTCCTTTTTTTTATATCACCTATGTAGAATTTGAAGTTATCTTTTTTAAAAATAGTAATTTTATTTTAGTCTTTAGATGTCTTACACTGTACCTGATAAATATCTGATATTTAAATTTTGACCTGTGTATGTGTAGTCTTGAATTTTATTTTAAAGTAACTTCAAGCTAACCTATGTAGTCATGAGCTTTATTTAAAATAAATCGGAATTAATACTACGTAGTCTTGAGCTTTATTTAAGGTAAATCAGAATCAATACTACATAGTCTTGAACTTTATTTGAGATAACTTGAGTTTAACATGTGTAACCTTGAGGTTTATTTTAAAGTAACCTTAAGCTAACCTATGTAGTTATGAGTTTTATTTAAGGTAAATCAGAATCAATACTACATAGTTTTGAGCTTTATTTAAGTTAAATCGGAATCAATACTACATAGTCTTAAACTTTATTTGAAAGTAACTTGAGTTTAATATGTGTAGTTTCGAGCTTTATTTTAAAGTAATTTCAAGCTAACCTATATAGTCATGAGCTTTATTTAAGGTAAATCGGAATCAATACTACATAATCTTGAGCTTTATTTAAGTTAAATCAGAATTAATACTATATGGTCTTGAACTTTATTTGAAGATAACTTGAGTTTAACATGTGTAGTCTTGAACTTTATTTTAAAGTAACCTCAAGCTAACCTATGTAGTCATAAGCTTTATTTAAGGTAAATCAGAATCAATACTACGTAGTATTAAGCTTTGTTTAAGTTAAATCAGAATCTATATCACATAGTCTTGAGCTTTATTTAAGTTAAATCAGAATCTATATTATATAGTCTTGAACTTTATTTGAAGGTAATTTGAGTTTAATATGTATAGTCTTGAGCTTTATTTTAAAATAATTCCAAGTTAACTTATGTAGTCATGAGCTTTATTTAAGATAAATCAGAATCTATATTACGTAGTTTTAAACTTTAATTCCAATTCTATAATTGTAGTTTTGAACTTTATTTAAGATTATACTATATAGTCTTAAACCTTAATTTCAATTCAACAGTTGTATTCTTGAGCTTTATTTGAATTTATTTAAAGTAACCCAAGTTAACTTATATAGTTAAAAATAATTTGAGATGTCAAAAATAATTTGGGATGTCAAAAATAATTTGGGATATCAAAAATAATTTGGGATATCAAAAATAATTTGGGATGTCAAAAATAATTTGGATTTGGAATTTGGAATTGAAATTTGAAATTTGGAATTTAGTAATTTGAATTTGAGTAGCATTTATAATTGAGTGTTATGTTATCTATACTGTTTATAATCTGTTTTGCTTTTTTCTGTTATAGATAGGAAAGAATAGTGTCAAATGTTTAGATGACAGCTATAACTTTTCTTGTATTGTAAGAGATATTTATATTGTTAAAAGTAATTAGCACTGTATATTCTAGGTTATCAATAATGTGTTTTAAAAAAGTATTTTATTTTGTTGTTTTAGAATTGTGAAAAGAAAAAAAAATAGGAAACTCCAAAACTTTGGAAAATGTTGTGATTTTTTGAAAGATGTTATGTTTTGTAATTTTGTTTATTTTTTAATTTTTCAAGAAGAGAACTATTAAAGTTTTGGGTATTGTAGTATTTCTTTCAGGAGGTTGAATTCCTAAAAAAATATTTTCGTCTCTTATATCCATATGATTTTTGAATTTTAAAATTTTTTATTTTTCAATTTTTATTAGATACAGAAGAGAGTTTTTTTTTAGCTTTAATTATTAAAAAATTAAGTTTTATATGTAATTACGATTGGTAATTATTTTAGAATTTAAAAAAATATTAGTTTGATAAAACCCATATCAATTATTTTTAAAAAATTTTAAAAAAAATCTAAAAATGATTATCAATTATTATCATATATAAAATTTCTTTATCTTTTAATATAATAATAAAAATGGTATCATATACAGTTAAAGTTTAACATATGAAATATCTACTGTAAAAGTTTTAGATTTTTAAATTGAAAATTGAGTTTAATATTAATAGTTAAATATCAGATATTTTAAAATTATACTTTAAAGTTTAATTATATATTATTCTCTCAATTCTCAATATATAAGGTTAAAATTTTTACAAAAAATGTTCTATATTTTAGACTTTGAGATAATTTAATACCATATTTATTATTAAATTAATAAATGATTAAGTTTTTTTTATATAAACAATCATCATAATTATTTTCAAATTTTTTTTAAAATTTTGGTTATTTTTATTCATGTCAATTGAAGTCAAAATTTTTACTAAATATTATGAAAAGTGTAAATAATAAATATTGTAAATATTGTTTCTGGCTACAATTTTATCTAAAATAGTTAATATCTATCTTTAATATTCATTAAATACAAATACGGGTAATGATCAAAAATTAAATTTATTATTTTTTGTTAATTTTATTTGAAGTATAATTTCTCTGTATATAGACTATACTTGTATACAAAATTATTTTGAAGTCCTGAAATTACAATTTCAGAAAAAAAAGTTGAAATAGTTTTATAGAAAATAAAATTATTTTACTTAAAATCCAAAATTTTTTGACTATCCAAATTTATTTTTTGATTGAATATACATATAACTGAATACTTTTTTTACTTTCATATATAAAATAGATTCTGCATAAATTTCAAAAAGTCTAAATACCTCAAAAATCCAAAATTAATTTTGAGAACATGTATAGTATAAACAAAATATATTATATGATAGTCTTAGTTTAGGGAAATCTAATAAAAAAAGTTTATGCAATTATTTACAATTAGCATTTTAATTTTAGTAATTTTTTTAAAAATTTTCAGGTGGTCCAATACTTTTAACAGGGGGGGTATACATGATCAGAGTTATACCAATTAATTAGAATTTAGTTATTTAGTTCCATTTAGCCATTAAGCCAAAATTTAATTAGAAGAAAATCAATTAGCCAAAGATACAATAATTAAGCCAGATCTAATATTAATTGAGCCAACTATCTTAAAATAAAATTACATTTTATAAATTTTTTTAACATCGGCACAATAAATAATCATATAAAATGTTAGGTTTGCATAATATGTGTCTTGTAGAGAATAATTTATATAAGTGGTTAAAAAAAAGTAATACTGATTATAATGCAATTGTGTTTATATAGAGATAGAAATAATATAAAACTGATCATAAATGTGATTATAGCTATTTTGTAATTATACAGGAGGTAACTATAAAGAGATCTGACTGTATTCTTTTTTTCAAAATCTTACCATTGATTGACAATAAGAAAATTAACAAATTGGATTAAAAAATTATTAAATTAATATAGTTTAATAAAGAATCAACAATTTAATTTTTAACTATTTTTTAAGCTAATTTATTACTATTCTTTTTTTCAAATTGTACCATTGATCGACAATAAAAAATTAACAAATCAGATTAAAAAGTATTAAATCAACATAGTTTAATTAAGAATCAGCAATCTGATTTTTAACTGATTTTATAGCTTTTAACCTGTACAATTAATTATATGTTATTATGTCACTTTTTTTTTGAATTATGACAGATATCACTAATATCAGACAAGACAAAAATTCAAGAAACACAAACAAGCCAACCAAAAGAAAAAGGAAAGACTAGAGATTAATAATATTTATATTTTTTTTGTAATTTTGTAAATTTAGTATAAATAATATGAGTCATATTAAGATAACTTTATGTAACATAAAACACAATAATTTTCCTACTGGCTAAAAGATTCATTTCTATTAGATATGTTAACAATCCAAAAAAAAAAAAATTAATTAATTTTTTTGCCTATTTTAAGTAAATACACCATAAAATTAACATATTTTCAGGGAAGAAATTGTACTATAAAATTTTTAATCTGGTAAATCACACATAACCATATAACCGTGTAACTATAATTACATTATCCGAATGTTATTGTTTGTATTCTTGTTGATTCTTGTGGCATGTCGTAGCCGTTAAAACAAGTTCTAATGGCGAGTAAGAACCTGATCGATAGCTGATATTGTGCGACATATTTTAGACACCATTTACTGTCTTGCGAGAACACAAACATATCCTTGTCTGAACCTTTTTTCCCGGCCGTGAAAATTTTAATTTATCTATAAAAATTCCGTTGGACTCATCTTGCGGTTGTAAAATGACTTCACCTACACCCATCGCTACACTTGTCTCAAAGAAACCAAAAAAAACCAAAACTACTGCAACTGTGGTTTTACCCAAGAAAAGATTCGATACTGTAATAGACACGAGTAACGTGCTGGACGAGGAAACTAGGAGAAAACAAGAAGAAAACGCAAAGAAAACAGCCAACGAGGAGGTGGGTAAAATGTTGAATCATATATATTTTATTAATTCGTCATCTGATGTTTATCAATCTTTGATATACACTCTATTTGAATCTATAGGCTGAAAACGAAAAACCAGATATAAATTCAAAGCCAGACATCTTTCAAACATCACCCTTTTTAAAAGATGATAAAATCATTATTGTAAAGTATCCTAAAAAGAATACAGAAAAAGAAAATGATGCATATAACGAAACCCTAGATGCTTTGAATGGAACAAGGCAAGAGGTAAGTCGTCACCCAATAAGTCACGTGATTATGTTGCATTGAGTAAATTTTTATTTGTGTATCATAATAAAAAGATAAATGCTCAGGAGGATGTGACGCAAGCTGCTATAGAAGCGTTAGAAAAAATGTTTGGGAAAGCTCCGGAACAAAAATTACGTGGTTCGAATTATGGAAGATTAGCACAAGATTTTACATTCCCACCAAAACAACAATCTTCCACGACCGAAACTTCAAATATTTCAAACACAGAAAGTAATTCCAGAATGACTTCAGAAACTAAAGAAGAAATTGATAAAAAAGAAAAAGCACGTCGAAGAAAAAGTAATCTTAATGCACTGGCACCTGAATTTACGCCAACATCTTTTTCTGGTAACGCCTCTTCTGAAGCTAATAAATTGGTTGATAATTCAGATAATAAGAATGAAGACGATAAGAAGAAGAAGAATGCTAGGAAAGAGAAGGCATGTATTTTTATCGAAATATACCCGCATATATATATATATATAAATGCACTTACACATGTTCGACACTATTATTAATTTCATATATTTTACCTATTTTTTTTAGACAAATCACGAAATTAATGGAGACACTGAACATAAAAAGAAGAGACGACCAAGTACACAAATATTCACGGAAAATCCGCACCTCGATAGCGTTTCATACGGAAATTACGTACACGGTCCTCCGACGCCGTACCCGGTACCTTTTGCTTCCCAAGCTTCTAATTGGGATGAATTTCAAGTGAAACTAACTACTGAGGTAGTTGGTAAGGTTGAAATGGAAGTCCAAAAACATCTGGAAGTTATTACAAATGAACTTAAAATGAAAATAGTAGAACAAAAGTCCGACAGTTTAGGAGGTTCTTCAAGTAACGGAAAGAAAAAGGATGATAAAAAGGAGGAGGCCGAAAGAAAGAAAGATGAAGCTCGATTACAAAAATTGCACGATTCACTCCTTCAAGAATTACAAAATCATCATCAAGATATACGTTCTACACATGATGAATTAATATTGCGACATGAGGAAATGCAAACAAGACATCTTGAGCTTCAAGCAGCTCTTAAAAGTAGTCTTCAAAAAAGTCATGAAGAAGTTCAACAAACAACCTCCATCCAAAGTCGTCACGCAGAGCTTCAAAATATGCACCAAAATTTACAAGCCAATCAAAATGAACTCAACAAAGAGCTTGCTAATAATGAAATTTTACAGAACCGTCTTCAAGAATTGTTAACTGAACATAGAAAGATTCAGGAGCGTCAACAAAAGCTTCAAGATGAAACAACACTTTCTCAGAATCTCATGCGTCGTATAAGTGAACTTGAATCTGAACTAAATGAATTACGTGCAAAAAATTCACAATTAAGTAATGAAAATTCTAAATATTATGAAGAAAACCATACCTTCAAGTCGAAAATTAACGAAATGAAGAATCGTGATTTACAAAAAGATAACAAAGTTTCTGAACTTCAAAACCGTGCTTCAAGTTTCGAGAATGACTTAAAAACGCTCGAAGATGAGAACAGAAAACTACGAGAACAGCTGATAAAAATCGAAGGCCAAATGCGTGATTTGCAGAATGGCAATCAAAAGCTTTATGAAGAAAGCAATTCCCTACATCATAAATTACGTGTGAGTGAAGTGGGACTTGGAGAAAGGGATCTTAAAATTCGAGACTTTGAACGTGATATTGAACGTAAAACCTCAGACTTTAAAAGCTTAGAAAATAGTTTACGAGTTCAGTTACAAGATTTCGAAAGAGAGGTGAATGAACTTCAAGCAAGCAATCGTAATTTGAAAGATAAACAAATTGAATATGAGAAAGAGATAAATCAACTCCGTACACAAAATCAAGAACTTAGAAGTAAAGAATCAGTCCAAGCTAAATCCAAAATGGAAAATTTAGTTAGAGAGATTGAACAATTTAAATCAAGGAATAATGAGCTTGAAGAAATCAACAAGGATTATAATGCCGAACGTGAGAAAAATCAAAGAGAAATTCTTGCTCTTCGTACTAATATTCAAACAATGGAGGGTAAACTGACGGACGCTGAAAAAGTACGGATTCGGAATCAACATCTTGAGGCAGAAACGGCAGAGTTTGTTAAGATGCGTAATAAAATTAAAGAGATGACCAAACGAATAGAAGAATTTGAACAACACATGGTGGAATTAGAGCAACTTAGAAAACGCGCAAAAGAATTTGATAGTCAAGCAGATGAACTTCGGGAAATTCAAGCAGTAGTGAAGGAATTAGACACAACAAAACAACAAGAAAGTGTAGCCAAAACTTCCGAAATTGAAAAATTACGAAAACTTAATGATGATTTGCGTCAAGAAAATGTTACAAATAGGGAAATAGGGATTAAGCTTAATAAAGAATTAGATGAAACTAAAAGAGGAATGCAGCAAATTTATGAATCAAATAATCGACTGCAGATTAATTATACAGAATTAAGTAATCGCTTACGAGACATTGAGACGGAAAAGAATAAATTAATTAATGAAAATAATAGATTACAAAATAGTACAATGGTTGCAAATAATAAACTTATATCACCTTTAAATACACCCAGAATGAATGGTATTAATACAGAATTCGATGAACGACATATAACGAGAACATTTAACGCACAAAATTTCGATCAAATTAATCACATAAAATCACCTATCGAATATCATTCTCATCAGCAATTTAATCCCTCATCATCAGCACTTAATTTCCAAAGTACACAATCGATACCAAACACAATATTGAACACAACAATCCCTAATCAATTACATTCTATTAATAATAATGTTCAACATGGTGCACAAATACAATTACAACATACATCTCATCTTCCAGTTTTAATTCCGGCTGTACAACATAATCAACAATATCAACCTCACATGCCGAATCCCCAACTACCACCGTCAACACAACCAACACAATCATCACAATCATTACAATCATCACAACCATTACAATTACCACAACCACCACCACCACCACCATCACAGCCACAGCCACAATCACAACCACAAATACAACAATCACAGATACAATTACAGAATTCTCAGCAACAATTATCCACATCAGAATTACAGATTCATTCTCAAATACAACCAATGCAATCACAGATACCTCAACAACATTCTCAAAAAAATCCTCAACAACATCCTCAACAACAAATACAATCACAATCGATGCCAATGCAAAGTCCAATTTCAACTTCACATCTTACTGTTGTTAATTTACCTCATAATACAACACAACAAAAACAAAATAATCAAAATAATCAACAATCACCGAAAGTTCAGAAATCACAAAATCATGGACAAACAAAACATCAATCGCAGCAAAATTCGAAACAAGAAAAAGGACACAGTCGTCAAAATTCATATAATAAAAATTTCAAACAAACCAATAAAAACAGGAAAAAGACTCAAAAGAATAATAATTCTGATAATCGTAATCAGAATAAGTCAGTAGATATAACTAAAGACATTAGTGAACAAGTGGCAACTACCACCCAAGCACCACCACCACCACCACCACTACCACCATCATCATCATCACCACCACCACCATTATCATCACCACCGCCACCACCACCGACCGCCAACAGTTCAAATTGGAACAATGGTAATTTAAATAATAAAGCTTGGTGGGAATAAATTATATAAAGAAAATTATATAGAGAAAGTATTATTAATAAACTTTGAGTAAATTAAGTAAATTAATTATTTTTAGATATTTTTGTCATAATAAACAATTTTATAGTACATTATAACAAAGTCATAGTAATATGTATAATTTATAAATTATAATAAATATACAAAGATTTTAGCTTTAAATTGAATGACTGAAATGAAATCAGTACAGTCATTTAAACACGTGTACTTGCTATTGTCACAATCATCACATGTAAATGATCTTCGATTCGATAAGGAAATATAAATATCTGATAAATTTTCATCTATTTCTTTGAAATAAATGGCAAATAAAGAATTATTTGGTGGAGCGATTACTACTTATATTCCTGAAAATTTTATTGATGTTAGGTAAAATCATATTATATTTTAATTTTTCCGATAATTTTAATAAAACGTTACAATATTTAACGGTTGTCAAAAAAAAAAAAAAAAAAATGCAGTGACATAAGGGAAGTACCAGATAATCAAGAAGTATTTGCGAATATTGATACAGATCAAAGTATAATTATCGAGATATTAGAATATGTTGGTAATTTGAATGAGGATGAAAAAGCTATTAGGTATTATAGAATAAAATATTTTAATTATGAAAGAAATGAAACAAAGAATTGGAAATATATTTATTTATTTTTGTTGTAATATTAATGAAACATTTTTTTTATATTTTTTATAGGCTTTTAAATTTGATTGTTGTTTAACATCATTCATCTAATTCAATCTCTAAAGTCGAAATTAATCAACAATTTTAACAGAGATGAGATGTTAAACATACAATCAAATTGGGAGCCTTTTATTTAAATTTAATTAATATTATTTTAAGACATCATTTTGCGTCTATAGCATCTGATAATAATGCAGAAGAATATAATAGTATACAACAAATTATTACATTGACTACATCTGATGTTCCTAATCTTTCGTATGTATTTTATTTAAAATTAAAATTATATTTTAAATCTACATTTATTTCATCAATTTTATTTTTATTTTAATTTTTATTTCTATTCAATGTTTTCAATTTTTTTTTTTTTTTTTTTTTTTTTTATAGTCCGGAAATATCAAAATATTTATTATCAGGTCAGCAAGCAATTTCAAAATTCAATGAATCCGATCCTAATTCAAGAAATTTAGTGAATATATTTATGGCATTATTCAGATTTCCAAATATCGAAACAGATATTGTGATCACATATAATATACCCATTTTAATTGGTATTACTAGTAGTAGTAGAGAAAAAGCTCAAGAAGGAAATTTACATGAAGGAATGGAAGTATTCAAGAGAGTATTAGTAAATTTCGAGATTAAGAATTGGGAATTATTTAATGGATAATAATATTATTATAAATAATTATATCAAAATCAAATAATTAATTACAATCCAATAACCTCTTATATTATAATCACATCACAAAAATATTTCAATTTTGGAAAATGATATAATAATAATATAATAATGATGATGATGATAATAATAATAATAATGATAATAATAATAATAATAATAATAATAATAATAATAATAATAATAATAATAATAAAAGATTACAATAAAGAAGTTTCCATTTTTATTTTTTATTTTTGTTGATGTTGTTGATATTGTTGATATTATTTGATATTGTAATATCTTTTTTGTTCTTTATTATAAAATTGCTTAAATCTATAAATAAATGATTGATTTTTTATTTAAGAATTTTACCTTCTTGGGTTTTGAATTAAAACATTCTTTCTAATTATAGAAAATAAAATGAGTTAAAAAAAAAAAAAAAAAAAAAAAAATCTTTAAACATTTTCTATAGTTGGTTTATCAGTGACAGTGACATCATATCATATAGTTTAATATTTATTTAGTCACTATAAAAAAAACTCTCGGATTGTGTTATTGGGAATTAGTCAATTAGTCCAAATACCCTTTTTTTTCAAGGTACGGGCATCTTTCGTACTCGCAAACCGTTAGTTACTCCAATCTAACAATTGATATTATCTGTTTTACATTCTATTCTTCTTTATTTAAGAAATTAAAAAGTATCCACGCGTATACTTTTACTGACTTTGTTACCTCCAAATAGTTACTTTAAGAAGTTCGAGGTTTCTTTCTTTCTTTTTTTTTTTTTCTTTTTCTTTTTTTTTTTTTTACTTTGATTATCTCTTATCTAAATTTTGACCTGTTAAAGCCTTCCTCGCGTATGCCGATTGAATACATCAGCAAAACTTTTATTTTACCAATATAAGAAAGTCTTTGTAAAAATGAGTAAAACTGAATATTATTCTGAGGAGGAAGAGTTTCAATGTCCTCTCTGCATGGAAGAGATGGATCTATCAGATAGGAATTTTAGACCATGTCCTTGTGGTTACCAGGTGAATTTTACAAATAATTCCAAAAAAATTTTTATTGTAAAAAATATATATTTGAAAAATTAGCATCTCTTAACCAAGAATATATAGTATTTTTAATACCAGTATATTATAATTAAATTATAATTAAATTAAATACCAATTCTTTTAATAATTTTAATAAATTTTAAATAAATTTAAAAGTACTAATAAAAATAATTCATTTATACAAAAATAGATATGTCGATTTTGCTGGCACCATATTCAAGAGAATTTGAATGGGCGTTGTCCTGCTTGTCGCAGGGTATATTCTGAACAAACCATTGAATTTAAACCTATATCTACTGAAGAGTATGTTTGAAATTTTTCTTATCATATAATTTATAATCAAATTTTCTTTAATTTTTTTAATTTTAGGATAATTATTTTTATAATTATGATCAACTAAGCAAAATATTCTTGAATTATTCTTGAAATATTCTTGAAATATTTAAATTTTAGTTATCCCAAACATTTAGAACAATCTTGATAAATAAAATTTTTCATTTGTTCTCGTAATATTGTTGGTTATATAAAATTTATTTTATAGGCTAGCGCGAATCAAAAACGAAAAGAAGCAAAAGGAACGAGAAAAGAAAGAACTTGAAGCAATGAATAGAAAACATCTATCCAATATGAGAGTCGTACAGAAGAACCTAGTTTACGTTATTGGTCTTAGTCCGAAGATTGCGAATGAGGAGGTAGGCGATGGCTACAACAACAAATATCGCCTTTTCTCCATATTTTGATGAATATCAGTAGTTATTGAATTGTCAAAACTCGCACTCAACTCGCGTTGTTCTTAAAGATATTACGGTCGCATGACTATTTTGGTCAATACGGAAAAATCGCCAAAATCGTCGTCAATCGTCGAAATCCTCCGGCATCTACCGTTCCCGGTGCACCACCACCTCAACCTAGCGTCGGCGTTTATATCACATACGTACGAAAAGAAGATGCAGCAAGAGCAATAGCCGCGGTAGATGGAAGCATGTCAGATGGAAAAGTGCTGAGGTTGACTATTTTTTTTTAGTATTTCTGCAAAAGTTGATTCCTTTTAATAATTTTGACATTATTTTAATAAAATTAAAAAATTATTCAGGGCATCATATGGTACAACGAAGTATTGTACGTATTATCTACGAAATATGGTTTGTCAAAATCCTAATTGCATGTATTTACATGAACCTGGCGAAGAGGCTGATAGTTACACGAAGGAAGATTTGGCTTCTGTGTAAGTTTATTATTATTTAAAAAATACAGTTTGGATTATTGATTTCATTAACTTGCGACCATTCTTGTCTTGTAGTAAATATCATCTTAAAGAAAATACACTTCATAGCTTGGGAAGGCCACCTTCCTCAGGACCACCTAGTGTGTTCCCACCACATTCTAATGTTCAACATCCCGTCTCATCACATTCTACAACATCACATTCCGTCCCATCACATTCTAAAAAGACTGCTGAAGCTCCTCCTCCCCCTCCTCCTCCTCCTCCCCATCGAACACTCGGACCCGAAAGTGATAAAGGGAGTAACGACGAAAGAGAAGAAGGTTTTTCAGATATAAATTTGATTATGATATCAAATTTATTAGTATTTATTTTGATTATAAAATTAATTTAAACTCATAAGTTATTAATCCATGTTTTTAATTTTTGAATATAGCATCGGCTTTACCTCCGACAGCTTCCTGGGCTGCCAAAACACCAAGCACAGAATCAACTCCTACATTGCATAATCAACAGTTACCTTCATCTTCACATATAACTCAATCTTTACCTCAAGCCGTCACATCTTCAAATAATTCGCATTTAAATCAATTGTCATCACCGCCAACAATTCATGATCACACCCATGAACAAAAATCAAAACTTAATGATTCAGATTTACTATCATTAAACTCCAAAACGAATAAAAAATCAGAGGTTTCTCAAACTTCCACTTCAGTTGATAAGACGGATTCGTCAGAGTGTCGTTCACCGCAGTTAAATGATAAATTACCACAACCATCATCTAAACAATCAGAGATAACTGTCGACTTTGATCAAACTTTGTCTACTCTTAGTGATGGATCCTTTTCATTTTCCTTTAACGCACCTTTCTTGGATAATCATGCTGAAGAAAAATTCAACGAGAAGGTGACTCCTGATAACAGTACTTCACGCATATTATCTCCTCCTCCAGGTGTTGGCTTTATCCGTCCAGATCTTTCTAATGCTTCCACCGAATTTTCTCAACCACCCCCAACTCCATATACTGGCCCATTCAATCCATTTGCATCTGATGATGATAAATTTGATCCTTTTAAATCAGATAATCCATCATCTTTGAACTCTCTTGGAATCCCTTCTCTGGGAAACAATAACATGTCAGACACATATTCAATCAATGATAAAGCGCATCCACAGTCCCTTTCCAATTCTGCAAAGTCACGAAATTCTTCAAGATTTGGTTTCGCTCAGGAAGATGGTGACTATGCGCACTTACATTCAGGTGACCCTTTGGCAATGAAAGACTTGCAGGAAGGATTTCGAGCATTATTTCCAAATGTAAATATAAGTTTTGGTCCAAGTGATCTGCACCAAGAATCTATGTGGAATACATCAAATGATTCCACCTTTACACCGTTACGTCGTAATTTGATGACAGCTCCTCCTGGTGTTTCTATTCCTGGTCTCAATCAACCTCATCAATCCCATCAACCCCATCAATCTCACCAATCTCACCAACCTCACCAACCCCATCAATCTCACCAACCCCATCAATCTCACCAACCCCATCAACCTCATCAACCCCAAACACTTCTTAATACCAACACTTCTGTAGGTTTGGATCATAATTTTCACCCATCCATAATGATGCAGCATCATCCACAGCTGGGCAGCAATACTGTTACTTCCATTAAATCACCGCCCCCAGGAATATATACTCAAAATCGTCGAATGGATTTCGGCATAACCGGTGGTTGGAATCCTCAAAATGTCAATTCCACCTGGAATATTGAGGATGATTATAATTTATCACGTCAACATACTCTCCCCTCATCAAATCAAAATCAGCCATTTATGCCAGAAGTAACGGGGCATTCCAACAAGGATGAAGCCCAAGTCTTTTTTGGTGCTTTCCTAAAGGCTGCAGCGGCTAGCTCAAATAATCAGGAGGATACGTCCAATGAAGGTTTGTTATCATTTATAATAACGTTATCAATTATTTTCAAATATATACATTTTATCTAATTTTATGAAATTTTTGCAGCGGAAGTTTTACCTAATATTCTTCAAGATCCTGCTATCATGTCCGTTCGAATTTCTCAAGGAGATAATGCGTACAAGGCACCAGGCGCGCCAGTCGTGTCACAGCAGCAGCAGCAACAACAGCAGCAACAACAACAACAACAACAACAACAGCAGCAGCAACAGCAACAGCAGCAGCAACAACAACAATTTCAACCAATGCAAAATGTAGGGGGCCATCGGTTAAGTGTTTTTGAACGTGTAGCAAGAACGGGTGAAGAACAGATTGGTAGTGGGTTCGGTGTAGGAATCGGATTGGGTAATGTGGATGCAGGTGGGTTTCCTTCAATGCTTAGTGGTCGGGGTTATTAATCCCTAATAAAAGAAAGAAATAAAAAGTTGAAGCCAAAAGACAAAAAAAAAAGAAGTGTGTTTTGAATGATGGTTTTTTTTTAATGGGTAGTTTTTTATATCATCGAATTGAAAAATTATTGTTTTTGATTTTTTTTTGGGGGGGGAAGGTGTGTTTTCACGACGACATTTTTTTATCTTTGTAAATTTTATGCATTTTCTTCTCGGGAGGTTACATGATAAATATATTATTAAAGCCCAACATAGTAACTCCGTAAATCGAATTGCCTTCTTTTGTTCGAAAAAATATTCTGGATTGATCGACTATTCTATAGGCATAAATGACGAGTCAAAAGAAATAGAAACTTCCACTCCTTCGGAACGAACTAATGAAATTGAAAAGGAAACAGATCAGTCTGAAATTGTGGCTCTTAACAAAAATTCGGCGGTTCCTGTCAAGGATGTCATGTACAAAAATCAAAATAAAGAAAATAAAGATAATAGCACCAACCATATCCATACTTCTAAACCTGCGTCCGCCAAGGTTATAAATATAAAATCAAATCATGGGAATAATTTTCAACAAACTAAGTCCGTGTCTGAACAGTCTTCTCATATAAAATCTTTAAATGAAAAGACCGCACGAAAGTCTGATGTTAGCCCTGCATCTGTGACATCAGAATCTACATCATCATCTAGTCCAAAGTGGAATCGTAGACATTCAAAAAGCACAAAGAAGCAAATTAGTTCTGATGAGCAAAGTCGGTCTGTAAATAATCAAAAATCTAAGGATGCACAGAAAGGAATCAATTTATCTAATACAAATGGATCCATTGACGATACTATAAACTCATCCGTCAGTGATGCATCTATTGTTCCGTCACCGATTCTTTCTAAAAAGCCTAAAAAGAAAGATAAGAATTCTGCTTCTCATACTTTGTCTACCATAAATAATTCATCATCCAAAAAAAAAAATAATAATAATTTCACTAATAATGTGGATATGGATTTCAAAACCAAAAAAAATTTAAACAAGACCAAAAATGAAAAAGATAACTTTGTTACTGAATTTCATTCTGAACCTATCACTGACAGTAAGATCAGAATACCACCTGATTTCAAATTCAATTTTGGTTCTTCGGATATTTTTGAATCTAATAAGGAGCAAAATAATGATTCTGTATTAAGACTTTCTACTATTGAAAGTAGTAGTTCCTCATCAGACTCAAAGATTCCAACCACCACCTCAACTCTTGAATTTTTGTCGACTGATCTATTCTCCAAAGATTTCAACTTCAACACATCTTCCATTTTCAATTTACAAACTTCATTCTCATCCACTCCCCCCTTACTTGGCCCTTCTTCAAATAACAATTCTTCAGATTATCCTAATATGATTAATAGCAACAAAAATCTTTGGAATAATTCGGTATCCGATATCAAAGTTATTAATGGTTCAAATGATGTTCATATTGAAGATCTTGAAAAACAAGTGGCCAATGCGAGACGTGAGGCAGAGATATTGGAACATCGTCTGAGAGCTGTCATTAAAAAAAATACTCATAATATGCAAGATGCGTGGAAATGATGTGAAAATTAAGATTTTTGCACAAGTATTTTATTATTAATTAAAATCTTCTCTAAAATTGAGAATTATAATTAATTAATTAATTAATTAATAATAATATTATTTATGGATGGTTTATAAATTTTCCTTTTGATTTTTTTCAACAAAATGGAGTACTATCTAAATATATTATTTATCAGTCTTTAACACGTACGATACACACATATTATTATTATTATAAATTATTCATCTTTCATATTTAATCAACAAATTCATTTGAATTTTTCAATTGACGAGAGAGAAAAAACAATATTGTTGTCTTTTGGTTTATATCGTTTTTTGATTGCACCTTATAATTTTTTTACACTCGCCGCAAATAACATTCGAGCACGTGACAAAAATAATAAATAATGGTAATAATTCTTGAATATCTATAGCGAAATGTATATCAAGAAGAAAAATTTAAAAGTTGAAGAATAAATATTTTCGATGTTTCAATGTTTTTAATAATGATAACTCTTTTAAACGTTAAATAAATTTTACAAAGTTCTTCCCGTAAAAATAAAATGGTGGAAATCTCAGATCTTACATTACTTAAAGTTGCAATATATAATGCATTTGTTAACTATGGACACATTCATTCGCCAAAACCGATATGGAAAAATCCCTGTAAGTCTTAAAGAACAGAATTTATTTTTCTTAATTAAAAATATTCAACAAAAAGAAATATTTTTTTTCCTTGAATTGTAGGGGTCATTGGAGGAGCAACGGCTCTTACAGGAGGTTTGTTGATCAAATTTAATAAATTTAATAAAATTTTTATTGGTGATAATTTAATTCATTTTTTTGTATAGTATTATTAGCACCATTTGCAGCTACAATTGTTGGAGCCTTAGGATTTGGTTCTGGAAGTATTGCAGCGGGATCATTTGCCGCATGGTTTATGTCATTATACGGTAGAAATGCATCTTCAGGAAATGTATGTGCAATTCTACAATCAATCGGGGCAGTTGGATTAGGTAATAATTTATTTATTTAGCAAAGAATTATTCTTTATTTTTGTTTACAAATCATATAAGAAACATTTTTTTTTTTTTTTAAAAAAAAAAAAAACAGGTAAAGCGGGCGTGGTAACCACTGGTACTACCAGTGTAGCTATTGGAGAGGGTCTTGGTAAATTTTTTGGAGATCGCACGTTATCTGAATCCGAGGAAAAAACTTTTGAAAGTTTTATTAAAATTGAATTGATTGAAGATTGTTATAGTGAAAATTACGAGACAATTGTTAAAAGTAGTAAAGTTGTATTACATCTTTATAAGAAAGTATTGGAAAATGAAAAGATAGTCGAAACTTTTTTACAAGTAATATTAATAGTAACACATTTTACAAATTCAAAATATTTTGATTTTATGGTAGACAGTCAAGATATAGGAGTAGAATCATTGAAAGGATGTATTTATCTATTACAAAAATTGATTCAAACTTATAATGGAACGAGGGTTAGTGTATTATCGGAAAATAAAGTAGCAGGAAACGTTCGTGGGTATTCTTTGGATCTTTCAGATTATGAAGTTCCACCAGATCTTTTGCCAATTGTCGAAGAGTGGAAACGTAATTGTCAGGAAAATAATGATAGCTCTAAAGTGAATTCTTGAAAAAAATATCAAAAATCACAAATTTTATGTTTAAATCTTTACATTTTGACGATAGAATGGACATTTTTTACATTTTTTTTATAGCACATTCATATTTCATATCATCCATATACTAGTATCAATTGCTGTATTTGTTATTGTATTTATCGTGTTTATCGTTATTTCTTGTATTTAATAATAATAATATTTTTTGGAACGATAAAATAGTAAATATAAATATAATTTATCTTTTTAAAAATTTTGATTATTTTTTTTTTACAGTCAAGATCATAAATTTAAAGAGGATGAACAATTTAATAGATTAGGGACTGATAAAAGAAAATGAGTATTAAAAAATTTATGTAAATTATAGAGAAAAAGTCAAATTGAATTTGGTTAACGTAAAATGTCAAATATCCAAGTACACTTCGAATAAAAAAATTAAGAAATCTAAATTAGGAAATGTGTTAATTGTATTTAATTATGGACACACTTGATTTGGAACTTTCTATTATTTCATTTCTTTAACAAATCCGGAGAACAAAAAGAAGAATATCATATCATTGTTTGAAAATTGATTTACTTGTTACCTTAGACATAGAAATAATTGAGAACAAAGAAAAAAAAAACATAAGACAAGAAATAATTGAAAATAATAATAATTATAATAATTGAAATACGGAATTATTTTTGTGAATTTTAGGGATCTTTTCATTCCTTTATTTCTTTTTTTTTTTTTGTTTTTGTTAGAAATATTGATAACCATGTAACTTCTACATAAATATAAATATTCTATATATTGAAATTGAAACGCATTAACATCAAATGTATGGAGGGGAGGAACAACTGTGTCAAAAGTACATACATTTATTTTTATACATTATTTTATATATTTATATTTTATTTTATATTTCAAATTTATTTGTATTTTATTTATATTATTTTTAAATTATTTTACATCGTGGATTGAATTGATTACTCTCTAATATACTAAATGTAATACTGATCTTTGAATTTAATAAATAATAATTATAATAATTGAACACAAAAGATACAAAAAATAAATTATTGAAAACCATACATCTCTCTCCATAAAGAATGAGTGTACAAGAATTATTGAGTATTTTTCCAACCTCTTTTTTTTTTTTTTTTGGCTATTGTATTATGTATGTATATTTCTTTTCTCTCTTTTTTTTTCATTTTTTTATTTCATTTTTATTCAAACACAATATTGGGATTTATTTTTACTTGTAGGTTGGTGCTTTTCTTCCTCCTCCAACTCACTACCAACACCACCACCATCGTTTAGAGTTCAATTTGAAAATATATTAACCCAAAATATATTATCCACAATCCTTAATTCTTTCTTCCCACTTGTTAAATTTTATAATTATCAAATCTTTTTCTTGGAAAGAACTTTTGTTCTATACTAGAAAACATAATTAAAAGAAATAAGTTCTAATGCTGCTTAATCAAGTCCAAATAACTTTCTAATATCATAAAGTTAGAACTATTCATATTTCTGAGAACGCGTATTAGATGAATTTAAAGAAAAATAATTAAATCTGAATAATAACGATATCAAGAAAGATTTGTATAAATTCTGACAAGTGAAAAAGAACATTCCAACTCAAACACTTTAAACATTACCAACTAAAACGTCAGTAAATATTGTGAAATCATATATAAAAGAAACAGTGAACCATTCTCCTTTTCTCACCTACATGATTATACAACTAACCTAAAGTCCAAAATTTATAGATTTATAGAATTTATAGGTAAAGAATTTTATATATATATGCGTTGTGCCTCGGATCGATTCTTTCCTCAGAACTGACCAAAATTAGGGTTAGGGTTGGCTGAAATTTAAAAATTTAAAAGATCTACATAGGTCGTTTTTATAATTCTGGTCAGTTGGTATCATCTGAGGCACCTCAGCTTTATAAATAAAATAACTAAAATAACATTGTGATATCTTTAATTCTTAAACAATTCCTTTTATTTACATTATTTCGTTCGATATATATATTTTTTTTAGTTTCTTTTGGGGTAAAAACAGCGAGATTAAGAGAATAGAGTTCTCATTTCTCGTAAATTACTAATAATTATTATATATATAATATAATTATCTCCAAACGCCATAGTTGATAAAAATGAAAACTTTCAAGATAATGATCTTAATGGTCTTGGGAGTTTTGTCACAATTTATAAGATCAATTGATGCCCAAGGTAAATTTTAATATAATCGTCATGGCACGTGATTTAATACTTTACCTATCTGAAAAGTTTTCTTGTCGCGTATAATGTAGAATCTTTATATCCTACAACAACTGTTATTGGATCTGATACTTATACACCTCCAATAGGACAACCAACAATACCGATACCAACACCGGGACAACCAACACCAGAATTTTCAACTGAACAGTCAACACCAGGATTTCCCACAGAACCAACACAGCCAGTAGGACAAACAACGCAACCAATAGTTCAATCAACAATATCTACAACATTTGAATCATATGAAATTTCAATTTCAATTTCAAGTACACCATCCATTTTCTCAGAAATTATCCCTTCAGGAAGTACATCTTTATACCAAGGAATTTCTACCACATCATCCATCCCTTTAACTTCTTCGGATCCATCCCTTATAACCTCCACTACATCCGAAAGTTCAATTACTTCTGACACATCAACTATATCTACTACATCTACTACATCCTCTTCTTCTTCTTCACTCGTTCCTTGTATCACAGACGCTGGAGAATTGTCACCATCTTCGTGTGTAGACTCAATAAATTATTATTGTGACATTAATACATCATTTTGCGTGGAAAAACAGGATGATAACTCCAGTTGTTCTGCGGATTATATATGTCGAACAAATTCTACCTGTGAGAACTTTATCTGCATTCCCTTGTTTTCTAAAGGTAATTCTACTGACGATAATAATAATAATAATAATAATACAAATGATGATAACAATAGTTCCAACAAAGTTGGTATAATTGTAGGTTCTATTCTAGGTTTATTAATAATATTAGGAATAGTGTTTTTGGCACATCGATTTTTGGTAAAAAGGAAATCCGAGATAGAAAATAGAAAAAATACAAGGAATTTCTATAGTATTGATGAACCAGAACCTGAAAAAACAATATATCCATTCGTGGCAAGGTCGAATTCATTTTCAAATGTTAACTCACCATCAAACCCTTCAAATATTTCCGAGTCACCAGTTTACAGATCAGGTGCAATAAATAATTATCAGGATTTAACGAGAGTACCTGCAGTGAATATTCCCACTTTGGATACGATAAATGAAAATGTGTACATGAGCGATAATATAAGGAATCCACCGACAATATTTTTAAGTCAAGACACAAGTAATTATAATAACAACAACAACAACAACAACAATAATAATAATAATAATGATAATAATAATCTATCAGATTGGAATTTTACCACCTTACAACAACAACAACAACTAGAACAACAACTACAACTACAACAACAAAGTGATTGTAATCTTTACAATAATAATACAAACAATGATGATGATAGTGTATCTAGATATAATTACCTCACGCAAGTATTTTCTCAAATTCCCGGGAAAAATGCATTGAGAGATTCTAAAGATTCCAATTCCTCTTCAGAAAGTAGTAATAGTAAAATAAACATAGAAGATTTTCAAATATTGAATATCGATGAAAATAATAATTATAATAATAATAATAATTATAATAATAATTCTAGTTCATTTAATATAACGGAGCGAAAACCTCATGGACGTGGTAAATCTAATGGTGATGACTTTTCCACTTCAGTTGATTCCGTATTTTTGGGACTCGATAACGATTTCTCTTTGCTAACGAGTAATAATAATAATAATAATAATAATTCAAATGGTCGTTACAAAATGAGTTCTTTATACTCTACCTTTTCCACTGATTCCTTTCAATTGGAAAACAATCGAACATCATCGATTCATCTTACGGAATCAATGAAAAATGCATTAATGGAAGCTCGTTCTAAAGAGAAGAACGGGAAGTATGAGAAGAATGAAATCATTGAATCGCGTGAAAAGAAGAATGAAAATATTACAACAACTATACATAATGAAGAAATGAATGATCAGGAACAATTGGAAAGAAGTTCTTCATTACGATCCGTTATAAAGTTGAATGCACCAATATTTAATAATTTGTCAAAACGTCAATAACATTTAGTGATTAATTAATAACTAATAACATTTAGTGGATAATATAACTCTTAAATAGTTCTTGGTGTCCTTAATTAATTCCAAAGAAAAGCGATAAAAAAAAAGACAATTACAATATTTAATTATCATTTTTTGACATCTTTTTTACTTTGCATAGTCTATGTTAAATTCTTGTATTTTATGTTTTGTTTATAATTAAATACTTTTAATTAATTAATAAATTCTCATCTTATAAACCATTATAAAGTGATGAAAGTGACCAATCATATAAAGCGTAACCTTTATATTAGTAAATTTGATACATAAACAGACCAAGGTGTTACTTCTCTCGTTTTTCATTTAAAAAGGTTAACGTTTGTTAGTTTGACACTTTTATATTGTTATAAGTTCTAGTCGAAATTTTTTTTTTATTAAAAGATTACCCAAAAATTTTATTTGGTTTTGATAAAATATTTAAAATATAAAATATTTTAAAAGGGGTAAATACGAATAAATAAAATTAATAAAATTAATAAATTTACATAACTGATATTAGTTTAAAATTTTAAATAACATTCAATAAATTCTATATAATAAAATTCTATATTATAAATTCTATATATAAATTCTATATAAAAATTCTATAAAATAAAGTTCGTTAAATATGTCAAATAAGAAGGATAGTTCCAACAAATCAGATAAAAATGAGGTTAGAATTCTTTTTTTTTTTTTTTTTCCTTTACACTCATATCATTACATTATTCAAAACAAAATGATTTTCAGATAGGGACGAAATTATTTAAGAGAAAAGAGAAAATTCTTGAGACTTCTACTAGTGTTGATCCTACAATTGAGACCGTGGCAGAATTGATAAAATCTGGAAAAGGTTGTTATTTATTATTATTATTATTATATAGAAATAATTGTGATAAAAGACATTTATAATATTATTTAATTTTTATTAATAATTTTAATTTTATCAATAATAATTTTTTAGCAAAAAAAATAATTGTAATGTGTGGAGCAGGAATCTCGACCGCTGCTGGTATTCATGCATTTTGACAATCATTATTACATGATATCTAGATATCTCTTCTAAATCTCTTATTTCTAAATATATTCTTTATATAGGAATTCCTGATTTCCGTTCCCCAGGAACTGGTCTTTATGATAATCTTCAAAAATATAATTTACCATATCCAGAGGCTGTTTTTAATCTTGGTTACTTCAAGGTAAGTAAATCTTCTTTCTATTTTAGTAATTGATTTGATGGTAGTAATAATTTTTATTTATAATTATTTATATTTAATTTATTTATAATTATTTTTAATTTATTTATTTTAATTATTTATAATTATTAACTAGGAAAATCCAAAACCGTTTTTTGAGTTGGCTAAAGAATTATTTCCTACAAAATATTTAGTATGTTCATTCTTTATATTCTTTATATTCTTTATATTCTTTATATTATTTTAGAATTTATTTATTTATTATTTACTAATATTTATATTATTCTTTTCAATATATATATATATAGCCCACATTGACTCATTACTTTATAACACTTCTTCATCATAAAAATTTGTTATTAAGATGTTTCACTCAAAATGTTGATAGTTTAGAACGTAGGGCTGGATTACCTGATGAAAAGATTGTTGAAGCTCATGGTTCTTTCTTAAAATCAAAATGTCTTAAATGTAATAATGAAGCTGATCCGGATTGGGTTAAGGAAACAATCTTTAAAGATCAAATACCAAAATGTTTATCTTGCAAAAATGGAATAATTAAACCTTGTATCACATTTTTTGGTGAAAGTTTACCTGATAAATTCTTTAAACATTTAAAAGTAATTCAATTTTTATCTTTATTTTAATTTTTAATTTATTTTTATTTTTAATTTATTTTGATTTTTAATTTATTTGATTTTTAATTTATTTTGATTTTTAATTTTTTTTTTATTTTTAATTTATTTTTATTTTTAATTTTATTTGCAAGGACTTTAGTAAATGTGATCTTTTAATTGTTATTGGAACTTCTTTAACAGTTCAACCGTTTGCTGGATTGATTGATCAAGTTCCATCTAAAACTCCACGTTTGTTGATTAATCGTGAACGTGTTGCTGAGGCATGTATATTACTTAAGAATTGTTCAAATATATTTATTAATTCTTTACAATTATATTCATGATTATATTCATGATTATTATATTCATAATTATTATATTCATGATTATAATTATTTATTATAAAATTTAGTACGCGGTAGAATATCATGGATTTGATTTTGATGGCGTTTCTTCTTCTGTAAAACGTGATGCATTTTATGGAGGAAATTGTAATGATGGTGTGAAGAAATTGGCAGAATTATTAGATTGGGAGGTATTATATATACATATATATATTTATTTTTAAACATTTTATTTAATTTGATACTTAGAAATTATTTATTAATTTATTAATTAATATTTAAATTAAAAGGATGAACTAAAACAATTATATAATGATGGTCATGTTCACCTAACAAAACTTGAAAGTGATGTGGATAAAGTGATGAAAGAATTTGAGAAAGTTTCAATCTCTGAAAAGACAATTATTAATGTTGATGATTCCAAAAATCTTACAATAGAGAAAAGTTCTGTTTCTATCATTGAAAAAGAATCTAACGATGAAGTAGAGAAGTTATCCAAAGATTTGCAGAAGGTTGATATTAATAAAGATAATTATAAAGGTGATGATAAAGGTGATGATAAAGGTGATGATAAAGATGATGAAAAAGATGATTATAAAGATAATGAAAAATCAAGTGCAACTGAAACTAAGAAGGTTGATATCAGTAAAAATAATGATGATGACAAACCAAATACAGCTAAAAGTGAAAACTCTAAAAATTCACTTTAATAATAATAATATTTAATTTCAGCAATTTGTATGATTTTTATTTTCAAGAATTTTAAGGATTATTTTCAAGGTTATTTTATTTTTGTTGAATTTAATATTTTCTCAATTGTTTCATCATTAATACTTAACATTTTCAATAATGCCATATGAATTACATTGACTTTCATATTTGAATGAAGTATATTGAATAATCAAAAATTAATATATAAAATAATAAAAAACAAATAATTAGAAATGATATTTTCAGTTTAATGATACTGTATATACAATTATCGAAAAATGTGATAAAGGGTACTGTATACTGCTTGCAAAATGTCTTAATAAATACTACATTCTTCAAATAAGGAAATATATTTTTTAGATTAAGACCAGTGAAGAGATGAGATAAACTGACACTTGATATTTTTGGTTGGGAGATGGATGTAACAGGTGAGATAACGAAAAATTATATTTATGCTTTTGCATTTTTCCATGAATAGAGTTGGATCTTATCATATGTATAGGAAAGTTGAAAAATTCTACTAATGTCATTTTTCCCCATTCTACAGCTTGTCCACTTAAATTATTTGGTTATAAACATTCACATACCTGAATCCAGAATGATTACTGCATTCTCCAATTTTTCAAGTCCTCGATTCTCAGCTCATACTATGAACAGTTGGAGAATGCAAAGATTTTGACAACTGGAATGTAACTACATTAAAGTTTCAGTGTCAAGAAACTGAAGTAACCAGTTATGACAAATTTAAAAAAAAATGAAATAAAATTTAATTTAATAAAATAAAATTTTTAATAGTTTTATTTATTTGATAAATTATAATTTATTTTGTTTTATTTTATTTGAAATTTATATTAATTCATTTTATGTTTTATTTAAATACTTAATAGATTGATTTACAATTTATATTATTGTAAATGGTCCATTCTTGATCATTAGGAAATTTTATTAGGCGAAAATTTGCACCAATTTTCACCACCTGCAAGTTTTTTGTGCGTTTTTTCCGTTTTTCGACTTCGCTCGCGATTTGCGAGGCACGGAGAGATTTTCTAATAAGATATTTCTAAGATAGATAGAACGGCCTTGTTCTTAGCTACAAAATGGTATGTATTTAATTCCGGTAACATCGATATTCGCGGAGATCGCGCGGTTTAAAAAAAAACATTTGTGAAAAATCGTGCAAAAATTAGCGAAATTAAATTTTCTGTGAAAATCTCCGCAAATCTTTCATAAATGTTTTTCTTTAAACCAAGCGATCTCCTCGAATATCAATGCCACCGGAATGAAACACATACCATTTTGTAGCTAAGAACAAGGTCGTTCTATATATATTAGAAATACCTTGGTAGAAAATCTCTCTGTGTCTCGCAAATCGCGAGCGAAGTCGAAAAAAACGGAAAAAAAACGCACTAAAAACTTACAGGTGGTGCCTAATAAAATTTCCTGATGATATAATTAATCTTCTAACTTCATTAATAAGTTACCTTGACTTTAGGTATTTTGAAATTTGGTCACCTAAATTTTTAAGGTGTCCTGTACTGTAACCAGTAAAATTTTTGAATGTATGTTATACTGTCTAAAAAAGTATCTCAAAATTTTAATTATTTTTAATAATGATATATAATTGATTCATATATATCACACGTGAGTATACTTAACCAGGAAAATTGAGAATTTTTTTTTATTCCATAATAATTTATTTGGTTTCAATCACTTAATTACAAATGTCATAAAAGATTTATTGCAAAAACTGGAAGTTACTCTTTAAAAAATAAAAATTCAATAAAAGTATATTTATTACAAATTATTGAAATCTATCTATTATTTGTCATATATAAACTAATCTTGCTTCACTACTTTAAAAACCTCCCAATCAGATACAGTAAATGAAGATGGAAGACTAACATTATTGTAACTATGTGGATTACAAGACCAAGTATTGTTACTATCGGAACAACGCAAATCATTCCCTCCTCCAAATGTTGGGCCATATGAGCTATTACAGTATACAGCATACTGAAAATTTTGAGACATGCGACCGATAGTTGCCCCAGAAATATTATTCTTATCACTCATTGAAAACAAAAAACTATCATTTGTATTTTTATAATTACTTGAAGAATCCCAATCCAATGGATTATAACCACCCACCAATCGTTCAGAATTTTGAATTTTAGCTATCATAATAGTAGCTCCCTGGTTATTGCATTTTTGATGAAAAGTGTTAGAACTATTTCCATCTCGGCTGCATCTGAAAAGAAGTTCAAAACTATAAGGCATCCTTTTTTCAATATTTGGATAATACGTGTTTTGTTGTTTGTCAATCCAACTAGAAAACAATAAAGTAACTTTTTTATTAATTAATAATGAATCAACCATTTT